TAAAAATATTTTTTCATGGCCTACAATTAGGCGTGGATTTTTTTAAAAATATTTTTTCATGGCCTACAATAAGGCGTGAATTTTTTTAAATATATTTTTTCATGGCCTACAATAAGGCGTGAATTTTTTTAAAAATATTTTTTCATGGCCTACAATTAGGCGTGGATTTTTTAAAAATAATTTTTCATGGCCTACAATTAGGCGTGGATTTTTTTAAAAATATTTTTTCATGGCCTATAATTAGGCGTGGATTTTTTTAAAAATAGTTTTTCATGGCCTACAATTAGGCGTGGATTTTTTTTTAATATTTTTTCATCGACCTACGATTTTCTCTTCATAATCGATATCCTTACCCCATTTCCCCTCTTCTCCTTCTTTAATTATCGCAACAAAATGTCTCACGGATAGCATTATTCTGCCATTAAATAATTTCATTTCAGATTTAATTATGTTAACGTCACATTCAGGCAACTGGAAATCGCAAAACCCGGTCATGACAATATCAGAATGCAGACAGGCAGTCACACAGGAAGGCGACAGCCTTCATTGCCGAGTGCAATGCAGTGAGACTCCTTCTGTTGTTGTTGTTGTTGTCAGTAATTGAGATTGTTGGCAAAGCAGAAGTCTTGCATAGGTCTGGTTTCATTAAATATTTGCTGTGGCAAGTCGGAAGACAGAAAATTTGTGGAGAAGTGAAGGGGGATAGGGTCAGCACTTTGAGAACCTCGAAAGGAGACATTGAAAGAATTAAAGGAAAAAGACCGATTTTCTAAATTTTCTTATGGAAACAAATTTGTGGGTAACTTTTTAAATTGCAATGCCTTTAAGATACCTCTCTGCAAGGGAAAATAAAAAAAAACGTCCCAACCATAGACACTTTCGAGGTGAAAATGAGTTTATTTCCCCTTCACGTCTTTGAATGGTTGTCTGTCCCCTTTTGACCCACTGATTTCTATGTTCCATTTTCTTTCGAATTTAATTTTCTTTGAAGAAAAAAAATATTCTCCCTTGCCTTAATTAAATTACGCCACAAACTCGGAAAAGAAAAAAAGAAAAGTCAAAATTCATTTTCGTTAAACGTTCACTTCTCCCTTTCCTCCTTTCCGCTTCTCGACCGACTCTCCCTACCAACTTTTCCGACAACTTCATTGTCATTTTTTTGGCGGCCTGGTTTCCGCGAATCTCCTTTTGCTCAGGTCACATGGAAATTTGATTGTTAGTCTTGCGAAATGTTTAGCGGGGGAAAGGTTATTAAATTTTCAACGAAAAATGAAAATAAAGAAAATAACAACAACTTGATGAATTTTTTAATGTGGGTCACAAGCAAACGGCGAAGCGTTTGCTAGAAAATAAAATGCAAAAGCCAAAACTACCTTCGAGCCACTTGTATACCATCATATCCCATTCCGCACTTCATGCCCCACTACGTCACACCACATCACCCAGAAATCTATCCACCAGCCAGCCAGCCAGTCAGCCAGCCTGCAATTTGCTGCGCTTTTGTAAGACCGGCAGAGATTGAGAAGGGTGTGTAGCATAGCTTTTACTTATGTTGTTATGTTGTTTAATTGTTGCATACTTTAAGGCTTGTCTTTGCTGTTGATATCCTTAGTTTGCATTTTTGTGTGCGCTCTCGTCGTCACGACCAGAAGAGTAGGTTAAGTGGTGTGGCAGACATTGGCCTTCTTTTTTGGTTTTTACACGGGGAAACTTTTAAACTTATTAAATTATTAAAAAGAAAAGGAACTTTTCCGGAAAATTATCGAAAATTAATTTTGTATGAAAAAATTTTATCGATAACATTTTTTGTAGCAATCGATAATTAATTTTCTTTAAAAAAAGGCAGTCAACAACAAATTTCCTTTACAGAAAATTTATCGATTACACCTTACAGAAAACCCGATTACAGTCTTTATGGGAAAGAATGATCGATAACTATTTTTTTATTCTGTGCTAAAAATGTGTCGATGACAATTTTCTATGTAAAGAATAACATTTCCCAGAGAAAAAAATCGATAATATTTTTTAACAGAGAACATTTACCGATAAAATTGAAAAAAGTTGTCGATAACTAGATCCATTAATTAACTAGGTATCGATACTTATGTTTCTATGAAGAGAGTTATCGACAAAAGAAAATTATTATCGATGACAATTTTCTATAGAGAACATTTTTCGAAAATACATTTTTTATAAAGAAAACTTAACGATAGTAACATTTTATATATAACAAATTTATCGAGAATCATTTTTACATAAAGAAAAATTATCGATAACTGACATTCTATGAAGAAAAATGATCGATAAAACTATCCAGTGAGAAATATTTACTTTAACAACATTTCTATAGAGAGAAGTTGTTGATTACAACCCAACCACTGAGAAAAGTTATCGATTAAACACCGTTCTATAAAGAAATGTTATCGATTAAACACCGCTTCCCTTATGTGTCGAAAAATATATCTATAAAAACTTTCCTAAAAAATGTTATTGAGTAAAATCATCGTTAATAACGTTATCATAGATATAAATTATCGATAAAAAAAATTTCCGTAGAGAAATGTTATCGATATAAAATTTTTATATGAGAAAAGTTATCGATAATAAATTTTCTTAAAAGAAAAGTTATCGATAAAAAATTTTCGTTAAAGAAAAGTTATCGATAATAACTTTTTCATAGGAAAAATAATCGATAATAAATGTTCTAGAGAGAAAATTTTTCTATTCTATAGAATAAAGTTATCGATAATAACTTTTATGCGAAGAATTGACATCGATAATAAATTTTCGACAGAGAAAAGTTATCGATAATAATGTTTTCATATGAAAAAATAATCGATAATAAATGTTCTAAATAGAAAATTTATCGATAATAAATATTCGATAGAATAAAGTTATCGATAATAACTTTTCTGTAAAGAATTGTTATCGATAATAACTTTTTCACAGAGTAAAGTTATCGATAATAACTTTTCTATAAACAATTGTTATCTATAATAAAATTTCTGTAAAGAAAGGTTCTCGATAATAACTTTTCTGCAAACTAATTTTATCGATAATACATTTTTATAAAGAAAGGTTATCGATAATTTTCTAAAGAAAAAAGTCGATAATGTAGTTGCGATAAGTCGATAATGTAGTTGCTATAAAGTAAAGTGACCAATAAATACATTTCCGTGCGGAAAATGATCGATAACAACATGTCTTTGGAAAAAAGTTATCGATAACAATTTTTCTATGAAGAAAAAGAATAGATAATAACATTTATGGGAATAATATTTTCCTTAAATAAATTTCTGTGGAGAATAGCTATCGATAACAGTTTTTCTTTAAAGACACTTTATCGATAACAAATTTGCTATAAGGAAAATTAATCGATAACAAATTTGCTATAAGGAAAATTCATCAATAATTACATCTCTGTGGGGAAAACTATTCGATAACTACATATCTGTGGTGAAAAGTTATCGATAACAACATGCCAGTGGAAAAAAGTTATCGATAACAAATTTTCTATAAAGAATACGAATATATAATAACATTTATGGGGATAATATTTTTCCATAAATACATTTCTGTTGGGGAAAAGTTATCGATAACAACTTTTACTTTCAAGACACTTTATCGATAATATATTTTCTATAAAAAAAATCATCGATAAGATTTTTTTGTAAAGAAAATTCGTCGATAACAAATTTTCTATAAAGAAAATTTATCGATAACAATTTTTTGTAAAGAAAATTTATCGATAACAAAATTTATGTAAAGAAAAGTTGTCGATAGAAACCTTTCTATTGAGAAAATTGGATAATAAAAATTTTTCTATAAAAATATCGATAATTCCTATGAATACAAATCGATAACAACTTTTCTTTATCGTTTTCTAGCCTCACATTTCGAAGCTTCCGTTTCGATTACAAAACAACAGGACACTGCTCCATGTTATCACTGGGTTTTTGTTGTAGTTGCGGCTCAAACGGATTAGAAACATTAACATTGAATATCTCGAAGCTCATTTGTAATGACACCACGACTTGATGTTTTTCCAAGGAGCGGAACGAAAGCGGCAAGGAAAAGGGGGACAAAGAGGGGACATATTATTTATTCCGCTGTTGCTAATGGCCAAAATGGTGGTAACTCGAAAGTCAAAACTGAAGCTCTTCTTCTTCATCTTCCCCGTCATAGTCCTCCTCTTGGATTCGTTGATGTTGGTCTTCTAACATGTTGATGATGATGAGACGCCAAAAAGTTTCCAACTTTCCGACTGTTGAGTTGTGAGTGTTGATGAAAGTTCGTATGGTGCGGTGGTGTTGTCGTTGTTGTTGTTTGTCGTCGTTCTTGGTCGATGACAACTATCATTTGCCTCCCCTAAAAAATTTGTTGCTAGGCTGACGTAGTTGACGTCGGCTGTTAATGCTTGAGTTGTTGTTGACATCGTCGTTTTTGTTGCTGTTGTTTATTTTATTACCATGTTCGTTCATTCGGTTAGTCCTCAGCTTTACAACGTCTCATCCTCGTTATTCGAATTTGTTCACCAAACATGGGTTGTGGCATTGTCCTAGAGGCTTTACTCTGGCCTTAGACGGGCCAACCTCAAAAGTGTGGTTAATAAAAAAATTTATTCAAGTGTAAAAAAAGTTGAAAAATTACAGCATAGTTTTAGGCACTTTTTATGAACTCAACAATAACAACAAGAGCAGCAGAAAACCAACAACAACAATTTCATGGTTTTAACTTTCAAATAAAACCGACAAAGTTTGTCTTCTTGTTGTGGTGGTGGTGGTTGTCTCTCAAGGAAAATATGCCGCAAAACAAATTGTTATGGTCTTAAGCGAATTTTCGATGTGATGTGGTAATTAATTTGAAAAATTGGGCTTTGACGATCCGCCATCTAACCACTAACTTGGTTAGTGGATCCGAAGCCATGTAAAATAAAAATTGGAATTAATTATGAAAAATAATTTCTGATTGGAATTTTCTTTTTTGTTTTTGTCTTTCAGATGGGCCGTCTCAACGGTTATGACCCGTGAAAACCTGATACCTCGCACCCAGCCAAAACGTGAGGGTGACCTTTCGGACACCATTGCCGCTTTGATACCCTTCTGGGATATGGCCAATCATCGTGATGGCACAATTACGACCTTTTTCAATATGGAAACCCAGCAGGTGGAGAGCAGTGCCCAGGAGGATTATAAGGCGGGCGAGCAGATCTTTATCTACTATGGTGATCGCACCAATTCGGATTTGATGATACATAATGGGTGAGTATGATACATATTTTTATACCCTTCATCACACTATGGTACAGGGTATTATGTCTTTGTACATATGTTTGTAACAGGCAAAAGGAAACGAGATAGACACATGGTTCCTTTTGAGAATATGCATAGAATCACTTTCTGAGTCGATATCGATGCATGACCGTCCGTCTGTCTGTCGGTCTGTCCATGTTAAATTTTATTTTTTATTTGAATTTATGATCCGATTTGAATGAAATTTGGCACAGCTCATTTATTTGGCCCAAGGACAAACCCTATTGAAATTGGGAAAAATCGGTTCAGATTTAGACATAGATCCCATATATATTTTTGTCGGATTTAAGGTAAATGGTGCACCAAAGTCCCTGAAAATCATTCGATTTATACGAATTTTGGCATAGCGTACTGACTTAAGTCTAGAATGATGTGTGCGAAGTTTCGTGAAAATCGGTTCAGATTTAGATATAGCTCCCATATATAGATTCGCCCGATTTTAGGTAAATTGTGCACCAAAGTCCCTATATATCGTTCGATTTACATGAAATCTGGCACAGCAAACTGAATTAAGTGTAGAATGATGTGTGCGAAGTTTCGTGAAAATCGGATCAGATTTAGATATAGCTCCCATATATAGATTCGCCCGATTTTAGGTAAATTGTGCACCACAGTCCCTATATATCGTTCGATTTGCACGAAATTTGGTATAGCGCACTGAATTGAATCTATAATGATGTGTGTTAAGTTTCAAAAAAATCAATTTAGATATAGCTCCCATATATATTTTCGTCCGATTTTAGGTAAATTGTGCACCAAAGTCCCTATATATCTTTCGATTTGCACGAAATTTGGCATAGAGTAATGAATTAGGCCTAGAATGACGTACGTGAAGTTTCATGGAAATCGGTTCAAATTTAGATATAGCTCCCATATATATTTTTGTCCGATTTAAGGTAAATGGTGCATCATAGTCCCTATATATTTTTCGATTTGCACGAAATTTGGTATAGGGTACTAAATAAAATCTAGAATGTTATGTGTAAAGTTTCGTGAAAATTGGTTCCGATTTAGATATAGCTCCCATATATATTTTTGCCCGATTTAAGGTAAATGGTGCGCCAAAGTCGCTAAATATCTTTCAATATGCACGAAATTTGTCATAGCGTACTGAACTGAGTCCATAATGATGTGTGCTAAGTTTCGAAAAAGTCGATTCAGAGTCCCATATATATTTGCGTCCGATTTAAGGTAAATGCGGCGCCAAAGTCCCTAAATATCTTTCGATTTGCACGAAATTCGGTATAGCGCGCTGAATTACGTCTTTTAGGATACATATGTAGAATATATCCAAAGTGGTGAAGGGTATCATATAGTCGGTCCCGTCCGATTTTATTGGTTTTATTTCCTATTTTACTAATTATCCCCTTCTTTTTTGCAGTTTCATAAATCCCTCAAATCCCAAAGATAAAATATCGATTAAACTCGGCCTAAGTCCCTCCGATGTGTTGTACGAAAAACGTGCCAAACTTTTGGAACTTCTCAACATACCAAAGAATAGTGAATTGAAGGTTCTACCGGCTCCTGAATTTATTTCACCCGAACTTTTGGCTTTTGTTCGTGTCTTCAATATGAACGAAGAACAGTTGGATCATTGGATTGGTAATGCGGAACGAGCTATGGATTTATTGCACATCGATTGTGCATTGGAAACGTCATTGGAAACAAAAACGTGGCAATATCTGCAAACACGTTTAATGCTGCTGTTACGTGTCTTCCCCCAAACCCTTGAGGAGGATGAACAGCAATTGGCCTTGGTAAAGGAGAAAAAGGTGGAGATGAGTTCGAGGGCAGCAATGATATTGGAGTATCGCGTACTCGAGAAACGTATATTGGCAGCGGCCCTGGATTATGCCAAACAAAGGACAAAAGCCTAAGGAGAGAGAGAGAGATAGGGGAGACATGGAACGCACAACGAACTTTCTGCTGTCACACTTTTTTGTTTTGCTGTGTGATAGTTTTTGGTTATCCTAACAAAGTGAAAGTCCTTAAAACGTGGAGGCATGTCTGTGCGTGCCAGAGACCCACAAACAAATTTTTGTGTTAGTTTTTAAGTGTTTTGTTTTTGTGTTCAACAACTTTTGCTTTTGTGTTGGTTTTCTGTTTTTAAAGGACCCTGTAAAAAAACAGAAATTTTGTTCGCCAAGAACCTGGTAAAAGTGGCCATAATAACGGTTTCAGTTTCAGCTGTGTGTTTTCCGATTTTTCTCCTATTCTTCTTCTTTTTGTTCAAAATAATTCTTTATTATTTTATTTTGTTGGTATTATTTATGGTTGATGCCTGAGGACATGCTGGCCATTCTGAAGTGAATGCTGGCTGGGACACAGGCAGTAACACATCCAGCCAAGGACCCTTGACCAAAAAGTTGTTTTATTTTTTCCTTGTTCTGGGCTTCCTCACTCCTTTCCCCTCTTTTTATTCAATTTCCATGTTTAAAGTTTGAAAAAAAAAACTGTTACAGTTCGTAAAAGTCAACATCATTTGGTTTAACTTTTGCCACTGCTTTTTCTTCTTCTATTTTGTTCTTCCTCTGTTTAATTTTCTAAATCTTGAGAGGGTTTTTGTGTCTTCGTTAAGTATTCTTTATGTTTCTTATATAATTATGATATTTCTTTTAACTTTTGTCGCTGCAGTCATCCTTGCTTCAGCTCCCTTGGTATAATTACTTATTATTTAAGTTTTCCCTCTTCCTGGCTCCTTGTGTGACCAACCGACAATTATCGTAGATTTACAGTTTAGAGTTTTGTGTGTTATTATTGTTTTTCTTTTTTCTACTCTTCTTCTTTTTCTACCCTTCTACTTGTATGTTTGAGTCACTAACTTCCGAACCAGTTGTGTTTGTTTTTCTAACAAATTTGTTGTGTTAAATTAAAAAAAAATATTTTTAAAGAAAAAATAATCGATATATTTTTTGCCAAAATTAAGTTGTACCACTTACTAACCTCTGAAATATTATTGAAACCATAAAATTGAATTTTTATTTGTTAGTATTACAACAACAACAAAGAAAAAAGATAAATAAAAAAATATTTATAATTTATTTGAACTAATAAAGAACCACAGTTTTATTTTTATTTCAATTATAGATTTTTAGTAGCTATAAAAGGCGTGGACTTTTTATAGCCTTCACCACACTGTGGTACGGGGTATTATGTCTTTGTGTATATGTTTGTAACAGGCAAAAATAATCGAGATAGACCCATGATTCTTTTTGAGAATATGCATAGAATCACTTTCTGAGTCGAGTCCGTCCGTCAGTCCATGTTAAATTGTAAACAAAGTACAGGTCGCATATATGATTCGAATTGGATGAAATTTGGCACAGCTTTGGCCCAAGAACGAACCCTATTGAAATTGGGAAAAATCGGTTCGGATTTAGATATATCTCCATTATATATTTTCGTCCGATTTAAAGTAAATGGTGCACCAAAGTACCTATATATCTTTCGATTTGCACGAAATTTGATATAGCGCACTAAATTAAGTTTAGAGTGGTGTGTGTTAAGTTTCGTGAAAATAGTTTCAGATTTGAATATAGCTCCCATATATATTTTCGTCCGATTTTAGGAAAATAGTGCACCAAAGTCCCTATATATCTTTTGATTTGCACGAAATTTGGCACAGCGTAATGAATTAGGTCAAGAATGATGTGTGTTAAGTTTTCTGAAAATCGGTTCAGATTTGGATATAGCGTTGTCGTTTTTGTTGTAGCAACAGAATATATGTCGTTTTGTCATGCATCGTCTGGTTCTGCATCTTCTACCTCCAAATTCAGGAATGCTGCAACTTCAGGCGGTTGCGTCCAAAGCGAATTCGGCGATAGGTGAGTAGGCTTAGCTGGGCAATTGAAGAGGTGCAACATGTCGTGTGGTCCTAGTCCACATGCCGGACATGTGTTAGGTATCGAGCCGTCAATTCTTGCCCAATATGAATTGAGGCGGTTGCACCATCCCGATCTTAGTTGAGCTAAGACTACTCGTGTTTGCCTTGGCAGCTGCTTCTCCTCAGCTGCGATGGATGGGGGGTGGTCTCCAATTATGGTATTCACTCTATATTGCTCTACTGCCAGAGCGACTGCATCCGTGTGAATACCATTCAGACCTGCTTGATAGGCTTATTGATCTAGAGGTTCACGCTTGTACCTTTGGACCTCTCTCTCTAGATCATGAAGATCTTTCCTGACGTGCCTGGGTGGGGGAGTCCTGTCCATAAGGCTATGGCAGGGATGTTCCTGACGATAACACCCAAGCAGGTACTGCATCGACAACACATAGTTGTGACGATGGACGGGTAAGATCTTCGTCTCCTCATGAAGATGGTCCACTGGAGTCATAAGGAGACACCCTGTTGCAGTTCACAGGGCAGCGTTCTGGCAGGTCTGAATATTCTTCCACTGCGTATCACTGACATTCGCGAACCACACTGGCGCCGCATAGCTTACCACTGACCGGCCTATTGCTTTATAAGAGGTCAACAAGGTTTCTTTGTCGGCGCCCCAAGTGCTGCCGGCTAGCGACTTGAGGACCTTGTTCCTACTTCTCAGCTTATCGCATAAAGCAGTGGCATGCGCGGACGACTTGAAAAGGCTGTCGAACGTTACTCCCAATATCTTGGGGTAGTTGGTGGTCGGAATCAATTCTCCATCGACCATTATGTTCAGTGGGAGCTTCATTTTAGCCGTCCATGTGGTGAACAGTGTGGCTGTTGATTTGGTGGTGGATATTTTCATATTCCTCAGTGGAAGTTGTTAACAATATCGGCTATGTAGACGTTTAGCCTCTCACATATATCATCAATAATAGGACCCGACGCCATGATCGTGCAATCATCCGCATACATTACGATCTCTATGCCGTCCGGTGGTTGTGGAATATCAGAAAGGTAGAGGTTAAACAGTTCCGGAGATATCACCCCTCCTTGGGGAACTCCCTGTTTCACTCTACGGGGTTTTGACTTCCTGTTTCTGAATTCCACATACGACTGGCGTCCACACATATAGTTGATTATCCAACGTTTCAAACACGGTCGGAGATTTGTCCTCTCTATATCCTCGAACAGCTTGGCATGGTTGACGGTATCGAAGGCCTTCGATAGGTCAAGTGACACCATAACTGTTCGGTTGCACGGCCTGTTCTGGTTGAGTCCTCTGCTAATATGTGTGGAAATGGCGTGTAATGCTGTTGTTGTACCATGCATCTTACGGAATCCATGTTGGTGTTGGGCAACTGGAAAACTGCTTCTCAACGATGGGAGGAGTAGCGCCTCAAGTGTCTTCGCTACCGGCGACAGGAGTGAAATCGGCCTGTACTATTCACCCCTGATGGCATCCTTGCCTGGCTTCAGTAGCGGGACCACCCTGCCTATTTTCCAGGCTTCAGGAACTATGTGGGTGGTTAACGACAAGTTGAGGGCTGATGTTAGGTACTCAACTCCAGGTTCATCCAGCTGCTTTAGCATTACCATGAAAATTCCGTCCGGGCCCAACGCTTTGGATGACTTAGCGTTATTAATGACATCTGCAACATCCTCCTTCGTAAATTGTGGTGGTTCCTCCTCAGCTCGGAGTGCCATTATGCGACGTAGCACACTCCTTTTCGCCCTGTCTCCTGTCAGGGTGCTCTATGAACTGCCGGTTAAAATAACTCGCGCACCTCTTCGGGTCTGTTACAGTTACGTCGTTAAATGTAACAGCCGTCCTGTCATCTTTCCTTCCAGGATTCGAGAGTGACTTAACCGTTGCCCACAATTTACTTGTTCCGGTGGCAATGTTGCATTGCTTCAGGTGGTCTAGCCACTTTTTCCTTTTGTGCTCGCATACTAATCTGTTGACTTCAAGGGTAAGCTCTCGCACCCTTGGGTCTTCAGGAGTAGTACGACGGAGCTCATCACGCTAATTAGCCAATACCGTTGCTTCTGCTGGGAAGTTAGGTCTTACTTCGGGTATTCGACCAGCAGGTATGAAGCGAGCGGCAGCAGTAGCGATGATTTTACCGAAATTCCTCTCAGCTACCCGTGGATCTGAGGGAGTGGGCAGCTCTCTGAAGCGGTGATTGGTAAACTCTCTGTGAAGCCAGGCCAATCAGCTTTCCCATGGTTCAGGAAAGTACGGCTTTCAGAGGTTATGAAGTCTGGTGGTCTGTTTACGGAGACGATAATCGGAAGGTGGTCTGAGCCTAGTAAAACGACGGGTTGCCAGGTTACGTCATTTATCAGACCCGGTGCCACAATGGTGATGTCTGGCGAGCTGTGGCAATCTCCTCTTATCCTCGTGGGGGCATCCTCATTAACCGTGCAAAATGTTGAGCTATCAATTTGCTCAGCCAGCGCTGTACCCCTCTGGTTATTACCTAGGACGGAATGCCATAATTCATGGTGGACATTGAAATCCCCTAGTACCAGGCGGTTATTACCTTCTAAAAGCGGACTGATATCCGGTAAATAACGCGGTGTACAGCTATTCATCGGCGGTATATAAACATTGAGCACCTCTACCTCGGCAGTTCCACACTTGACTGCTACCCCCATACATTCCATGTATGGGTCACTAGAGTCTAGCTCAAGCGAGATAGGTCTGTACTGGACATAATGGTGTAATAAGAATGCGAGTCCCCCACCCCCGCTTCTGGTACGGTCCTTCCGCACAACGTTGTAACCATCGCAACGCTGTAAGCTACAGTTCTCAGTTAGCTTGGTTTCTTGGATCGCACCGACCATTATTCTCTTTCGACTCATAAATTCTACAACTTCGCTGATTTTGTTGCGAAGACCGTCGCAGTTAAACTGCAAAAACGATGCATTTTCAAGGCGCGGAACAGCAATATGTGGTGTTAAATGCTGCGCATTTTGCTGTTGGGGAGACTGCGGGGGTGTCTCGCA